GTCCTCCGTAATGAAACTGAACAGCCAAGTAATCGTGAATTTGTCGTGAACTAAATCCACAGGCGTTAATAATGCTGCCTGTAGCGCCACGGCTTACACCTATCAAAACACGCTTCAACATTAACGTATATGCAAACGTTCTTACTAAGTAAGTTAGTTAGTTAATTGTTATGAATTTCGCGCAAAGCTACACGAGGGCTATCTGCGCTAGCCGTCTCTAATTTAGCAGTGTAGGACTAGAGGTAAGGCAGCTAGTCATCACCGCCCACCGCCAACTCTTGGGCTACTCTTTTACCAACGAATAGTGGGATTGACCGTCTCATTACAACGCCCCCACGGCTGAAAGGGCAAACATGTTTGGTGGGACGGGGATTCGAATCCGCGACCCGCAGATTGCGAGTCGAGTTCCCTAACCACCTGGCCATGCCGGGCCGCACAGGAAGACTTATCCTAGCGAAATTACAGTAGGCATTTAGTATCAACTGTTCTACTTTTACTAAATGATGTGATCAGCGAAAAACCAACCCCTGGGGCTGTCGTGCGCATTTTTTTTTAAAAAAAGTATCAAAAATAAACGGGGGAACTGCGGAATAATCTAAAAAGGCGAGAACAACTTTCAGAATTTAAAAATACTTTCTGGTCGCGAAGAAACGATCGGTACTTCCCTACTTCCCAGAAAATCAAAGGAAAGATTTAGAATGTTCTGATTTTAGCAAATATCAGAGTTATTTTAGTTCCAGTAATATTGCCCCCCTCCCCTCCTCCTCCAGTGGCACAGCGGTATGTCCGCGGACTTACAACGCTAGAATTCGGGTTTCGATACCCGTGTTGGGCAGAGCACAGATAGCTCATTGTGCAGCTTTGTGTTTAATTACAAACAAGCCAGTAATATTATTAATTAATTTCAATACATAATTAATTAAAATAAACATGTTTCTAGTTTCTTTCTAGTACCTCTTCAATCTCAATCTCCAAATCTTGTAACTAAACACTCCCTTCAGCACACATTTCCATAAGAACATCTTGCCCTGCCTCTTTCTTCTCTGTTGTTTTTACTGGCCTTTGAATTTTTTCCACTACTCCACCACGTCTACTTTGGTAGATAACATGACAATGTTTAGCTGTACATATAGCTGGAGGATCACAATGTAAACACATTTACATAAGAACTTCTTTCTCTGCCTCTTCCTTCTCTTTATTAGTGGCTTTTGGATCTTTTCCACTACTCCACCACGTCTACTTTGGTAGATAACATGCAATGTTTAGCTGTACATATAGCTGGAGGATCACAATGTAAACACATTTTACAGCTTCCTTCATTTTTGTATTTATATTCTTCACGTGATTCTTGTAACTTCGGTCATACTTGCGCTGCCCAAAAATGGAAAACTGATTTCGAAACAAGTGATTTTATTTACATACGGCAGTGTTATCCGATTTTTATGGTATTTTTCCACACAAAAAATGATTCTGAAATTTTAATTTTCTTCCGGCGAAAAAACTGTAATTTTGGGTGGGTTTCTAACTGACCAGGATCTTAAAACATTACTTCTTTACACACCCTAACTATCACACCCACTTCATTTTATCCAAAGCGTTTGTTTTATTGACTGACCGGGATCTTAAAACATTACTTCTTTACACACCCTAGACTATCACACCCACTTCATTTTATCCAAAGCGTTTGTTTTATTGACTGACCAGGATCTTAAAACATTACTTCTTTACACACCCTAGACTATCACACCCACTTCATTTTATCCAAAGCGTTTGTTTTATTGACTGACCGGGATCTTAAAACATTACTTCTTTACACACCCTAGACTATCACACCCACTTCATTTTATCCAAAGCGTTTGTTTTATTTTAAATTTATCCATGTTGTTGTTTTTATCATGTATTGATATGTATCTTTCTTTAGTATTTATGGCTAACTTTTCCACATAGTTGTTGCTTCTCTTCTCACAAACCTCTGGTTTCATTTCCTACGTCTCCATGGCTACCTTCTCACAGATTTGTGGTTACTTTTGTTACAGTGACTATCGTTCTGACGTGACTGGTCACAGCTTTGTTTGAACAGGTCACTTCTCTAAAGTTTGTTTGTTTATTTTAGCGCAAAGCTAGACAATGGATTATCTGCGGTCTGCCCATCACAGGGAATCGAACCTCTGATTTTAGCGTTGGAAGTTCGTAAACTTACCTAGTATCTAATTGGGATCACTTGAAAGCAAAAGAATAAAACGCACAATTTAAATAACTTTCAAAATTATAATTTTGTTTTGTTTCAACAATTCAAATTTTCCTTATATCTTACTTCATGCACAGATCAACGAATTTTAAAGAACTCGACTAAAATGGCGGTCAACTGTGACTCTAGGCCTAATCTGACTGATATTAACGCAGGTAATTTGTTCTCTCAAGTTAAAAACAGTTACACAACACACGTCTTATATACAAAACATGTTAACAACAATAAAACTTAAAGCAACTACAATATGTCAGACATTCCACAAATATAAAATACACAACAATAAATTCACTTCAAATGCACTACTTACAAACTAAATAACCAGCCGTTGCTAAACTAAGAATGCAAAAATCCATAAAGCACCTGAATATGTAAATAGAATAAAAATAAACGCATTTGATTTTAAAAATATACTCCAATAAACAGTCGTCTTAACATTTTAAATATATATAGTTTATCCCTTTCCTTACTTCTAAAACTGTATTTTATAACATTGTATAAATATCAGAAAGAACTTCTCTGTTAGCCCTAAAACAACTCTCTTATATACAGACAGTTGGTTTTTTATACAAATAGTCCTAAGTGACTTTTTTGGGGTTAAATTGCATAAAAATTGTCTGTATCATTCCCCCCCCCCCTATTACCACAAAATTTTCACTGTTCAAACTTTACGTTTGAGGCCCAAGGTTCACATACAGCATACAGTTTTGTGCTTATACGAATTTTTTGACATTTTCTTCAGAACGATAGAATCCTCCAGCTTGTTATTACACCTAGGTCGTAGCCCTCTATCGGGAAAAAAGTACTCAAAAATAAATTCGAAAACATTATCCACATTTTGTCCAGTCTTGCTTGAGGTTTCGAAGTAAGGGATGATATCTCTGCACGTCTGATTTGTATTAACTTCAGCTGCTAGCTGTTGGCCTTCCTCGGGCGCCACCTAGAGGGGAGAATGTTAAATTCATTGCCAAAAGAGAAACAGACACATATCGAATATTCACCGTATGTTTGAAATTCGAGTTTTGTGTAATCGATGTATAGATAAAAATAATCGGGTAGTTTGAAAGGTATAGACAGAAAATGTGTGTTCACTAAGACATCCAATAAGATCTTTACATCATTAATTAATCAACGTTGAAACCTAGCAACCAGATGAAAAAAAAAGAAACCTAGCAACCAGATGCAAAAAAAAATCATCACGCATACAAAACAGACAAATAAAATTGGCATAAGCCACAGAACATAAACAACGTCGGGGACATGTCCCCCCTCGAAAATGTGTAAACTTAGAGAGGATGATTTTGGCCTATTTCGATACAGTGGTGTGATGGAAATCGGGTAAAGACCGAGAGAAATGAATTCGCAGATTAATGATTGGCTTATACGACTTTCTATTTTTTTTTAACTTAATCTCTTTATCTTACTTTGTCGACTCGTTATCTATAGTTACAGAACTGATATTAGAATCCTCGTCTTTTTATAGTGAGGGGGATTATTTCGAATCTATCTACATATATAAGGGGCTGATGTGGGTAACATGCTTCTATCTGTATTGGAGATGGAATCACCCACCCACCTACCCCTATAAAGTACGTTCTGGCCGTGCGAAGCCCCTGTTATAAGTTAGATATCCTGACAAGTGGGAAATGGCAATTCTTAAAGCCTAACATGTACTAACATACTAAACACTTCCACTCTGATCAGAATCCTGTTAACTCAGTTATTGAAATGTTTTACATCTACGTACATGAGGCAACACATACATACTAAACACATCCACTCTGATCAGAATCCTGTTAAAATAACAACTCAGTTATTGAAATGTTTTACACATGCTCATCTATGTATACGTATTACATGTTTGTTGTGTAGAAATCAGTTTATTCTTAGTACATTAATATGATGTGGCTTGTAACTGTCCATATAAATATGTAAATAACAAGATGATAAAATTCTAAGTATACCTGTTTTGGTATGTAAATAACAAGAAGATAAAATTCTAAGTATACCTGTCTTGTATGTAAATAACAAGAAGATAAAATTCTAAGTATACCTGTCTTGGTATGTAAATAACAAGA